TGTATTTTTATTTTGTATAATTTATAATTGAAATAAATGCTTTGACATTGACTTTGATTAAGAAAGAAGTCGCCTTTCTCGTAGTTCTTTGCAGTTATTTTTGTTGATTACTTGTAAGACTTATGTAACTAAGAAATACATGTACTTTGTGTTCATAAATTATGTCTGTCATAAGTAACTTTCATGTTCGATTAGAACTCGCAAGCCTCTCAATATGTTACTGTTTAAAAGTAATGTTCAAAATGGTCATTTATTTACCAATTTTAGTTGGACTCGTATTCACCATATGAATAAAATTAATTACATCAGTCTAAACCAACACAAAACCCCAATTTATTTTCCTAAAATAGTTTCCAGTTGTACAGAACGTATTTTTCAACTGTCCAACAAGTCTAGCAGGACATTTATCAATGAGGACTAATGATCATTCATTGGCCGCCATTATCGACGCTCCTGACCTGAACAAGGAAGCCCATTGAAAAGTTTTAATTGCATTTTTATCAATGGCCTTTATCGCGGACATACCGCCAAAGATAACGCGGGAAAACAATGCACCGGTCAAAGAAAAAACTTTTAACATCTTCGCGACCGTTCCACCTTCAATAAAATACACCCATCTCTTTCATACATAACCAATAAGTAGGTGTAAGAAAGAGATATAAAACACATGCAGTGTCACACCGACCCCCAGGTAAAGTTTCAATTCCATTTATTCGAACGCGAGCTTTGCGCGCGAATGCACGCGGTTGCGCGAGAGCCATTCCATTTTTAAACTTTTCGGCGGTTTTATTCGAAAATGGAATCGTTTATATCAAGTGTTATTATTTTTTAATTTTATTTTTTTATAAATAAGAACAGTGTGTTTTAAGGAGTTTCTAAGTGAATTTGGTGAAATGACAGTTGGTTATTTTTTTGTTCGCGGACCATCTTATTGTGCAATAGGGATTACTTTTTTGTACCGGAGCTGAGGATACGGTGAGTCGGGTTCCTATTCAATAAGACATCCATGTTGCAACTGTTACCTTTATATTGTATATTATGTAAAATTTTGAAAGCTTACTTACGTACATAAGTCGTGAGAGACAAAGTGAATGACAAAAGTTTGGAAAATAAAGTCGTAAATACAAACTTTTATAATAATTTTGTTAAATATTTTTTTGTAATTAAACTTATACGTAGTACGAAATAATATCGTAATAATAATATTATAACCTATGTAGGTGATACAGTGACATTTTTAATCTGTAACAGACTCATGTAAACTAATTTCCCGCTAAAATTGAACTTTTAATCTTTACCTTTTACTGAAAAATACAACAAAGTTTATGCTTGTTACACAAACAATATTAAATACTAGCCCATGTGCTACATTTACTTATATTTTTAGTTAGTAAAATGTAATAAATAAATGTAAAATATCATATTGACAAATTAGCTTAAGAACTACGAACTAAAAGTAAGTAGTCCGCCCACGTGATGTTACCTAATTCTCCTTATAGGTACATACAGGTGTTGTAACAACTCTAATCTAATGACTAGGCATCTAATTAATCAACATTTTTACTTGTTATCCTTTTACAAATCTAGTTATATGCACTAAGCTTACGTATTTAACCGTATAGTAAACGTAAGACTGCGTCGTTGGCCGAGTGGTCGCAAGTGCTACTGCTGGGCATGGGGTCTCGGGTTCCATTCCCGGGTAGGGCAAAGTACTACTGAGATTTTTTAAATTCCAGTCTGAAATTGTGCCCGGTGTGCCCGGTATATGGCAATAGGCTCACTCCCTATTACATGGGGCTCATAACATAAATAGTGAAAAGTGGGTGTTACATTGTACAGTGGCATTAAGTGTCTACACCTCTGCCTATTAGCAAATAACTTATAAAGCTATCACTGTTTTTCCAAGTAACTTATTATAATATTGACTAGCTGTTGCCTGCGACTTCATCCGCATAGAGTATGCATTTTAGGACATGACTATTTTGCTGATTCAATTATCCAAAATAAACGTAGCCTATGTTACCCCTTAACACATTAACTGCCTGCCAAATGCTAAAGGTCCCGTCAAAATCGGTCCAGCCATTCCAGAGATTAGCCAGTACATAGAGACAAACATTCAAAAATATGTTACTTCGGTATGTGTATCGTATGTATATTCATATGCCTGTAGTAAAAAGCGGTTATTTTAATATTATAAACAGACACTTCAATTTTATTTATCTGTATGGATTGACTTGAAACTAACTAACTAATGACTGGGTTTTAACTATCTTACTTTTCGATACTAAACA